TCTCCTTCTGCTATTTAAAATAATGTCTCCATCTTTTAATGAAATAAATATCACATTTTTTCTATATTTGTAGTTTTCTCTTTTACATTTGAACTTTAAAAAAATGTTTTTATTGATTTGAGAGAGAGGAAAAGAGAGGAAGAGAAGAATAGAACATCAATGATGAAAGAGAATCATTGCTTGGCTGCCTTTTGCATGCTCCCTACTGGGGATTGAGCCTGCAACCTAGGCATGTGACTGAGTGGGAATCAAACTGTAACCTCCTAGTTCATAGGTAGACGCTTCACCCATGAGTCACTCTGGGCCGGCTACATTTGAACTTTTAATTTATCTCAGTATCATCCATGTGTGTGTTTAAATATGGACTTTTTAAAACTTTCTAGGTAATTAACCAATGGACACAATGCCATTTTTAGTAAATTTCCCTCACTTGGCTAAGTTAAAATTTTACTTTTACTATGCACTACATCCTTAATTTATTCATTGTGAAGGCAGGATAACTTATTCTGTCCTTGAAAGTAGTCCCAGTGTGGCATTCTTTAAAGAAGCAAGAGTAAATTGCCTGGCATATATTTAAAAACAATTCAAATTTTTATTTCAGTCTCTTGAAAAATTTCAAATTTGAATTATATCGCTAACACCAAGAAAAATGATTGAAAAGTCTTTTAAAGTATCTTTTCCCCTAAAATCTCACACTAGAGTTTCTTCACTTCCCACAGCTTCCTCCCCCAGAGCGCTTTTCCTTCCGCTCCCCCATAGGGGCCTGATGATCAAACACTTATCTCTTAATCCTCACACCCCACTGAGCTCCAATCCCAACTAGCTACTGCCCTTCAGTCAACAAGCTGGGTGGACTCCAAAAGACTGAAGTGGGCCCTTCTGCCTCCTCCTGCCACGGAGAAGCAAAGAATGTAACCTACAGCATGAGAGCTTCTTAGATTTATCTGTTTCCCATCCCCCAATTTTCTCATGTGATTAACTGCTTCCTAGAAATACAGTAAATAATTTCTCAATATCATTAATCTATCCTACCTAATAAAAGACAAAAAGGGTAATTGACCATACCTCCGCTATGCTTCCCATTGGTTAATCAGTGAGATATGCAAATTAACTGCCAACAAAGATAGCGGCCAGCAGCCACACAGCTGAAGTGAGCAGGAGGTGTGCTTGCTCCAGTGATGGAGGAAGCCAAGGTTCCCCGCCTGCCGCAGCCCAACTCTGAGCTCCGGAAACAACAATCTTTCAATTATAGAAGGCTAAACAAACCCCAGATACCTGCTTTCAGCCGGCTGCAGCCTCAGAGCTGGGAGTGCCAGTGACGGCAACCATGTTTCAATTATAGAAGGTAAATAAATCCCAAAAGAAAAAAAGAAAGAAAAAAAGGAGAGGCTGGGAGCTTCAGTCGCTGGCCAGCCTGAAAATGGCCCTCAGCCCCTCACCAAGATTGGCCAGGCACCCCAGTGGCGACCCCCACCCTAAAGGGGGTGTGGCCAGCCTGAAAACAGCCCTCAGCTCCTCATCCAGGCTGGCCAGGCACCCCAGTGGGGACCCCCACTCTGAAGGGGGTGTGACCAGCTGCAAACACCCATCAGCCCCTCACCCAGGCTGG